CAGGTACGCGGTTTCGTCGAGCGCGCTTTAGTCGACCGCGGTTTTGTGGTGGAACCCTCTAGCATACCTATGGTGGAATTCTGTGGTTGCTTTTAAATAATGCCAAGCATTTACATGTGATTACAGAATTGCAGAAGATTGCGTAGTTAATTGATGTAGTAAGAATCTTGAGTCAAAAATCCCATATTTACTGATGGTTTTCTGATGTGGCAATAGCTAACCAGAAGAGAGAACTCAAAACAGGATGTAAGAGTTGAATCTTTGGTCTCTAATCTAATCAATAATTCAACAGATTTAATTTCTGGCTATGTTTTAAAAGGATCAAACCCAGCATTACTGGTAAATATAGGGTGTTATAAGATAACCCCTTACACATTGTCAAAAAAGAAGAAATGCCTTTGTGAATCACAGTGTGAAAGATTGACAGGTGAGTTACTTGTGGTTTTAGCCTGCTGCGATGACTAATGACGGTCCACCTTTCAAGGCCCCCCCTTTCTCTATTCTTGTGGGCTTTTATCCTTCAATCAACTCGGATCTGAACTGACTCAGAAAACAAAATAAAAATAAAAAAAAACTTATAAGTAACACAGGATTCCGGGCCATCCTATTAAATAATAGGGAAGAGAAAGAAAGGAAAGGGAAGAAAGAAAGGAGGGAAGGAAAGAAAGAAAGAGAAAGGAAAGGAAAAGGAAGAGATCTCGTGGCAAAAGAGCACTGCACGCACTCACCTGATCTATGGTAAAGTTGCACCTGTACCTGAATGAAGACTAATAAAGTGAGAGGAGAGGTTCATTCATTTACATGATCACTATCCACAGTTTTAGTTAAAAAGACAGGAAATTGGACAAAAATATTATGTACTCTATAATATGTTCTCATTTCTCTCTGAATACATAACTTTTAGTTTTTGTTTTGACTTTATTTTTGGAGGGGGGGTGTTGGAATACTGTAATTCCAACCACCGAGCCGAGGTGGTGCAGTGGGTAGAGTGCAGTACTGCAGGCCACTTCAGCTGACTGCTAGTTCAGCAGTTCAGNTCCACTGGTGGAACCTCTTCTAACCGGTTCGGTAGATTTGACGAACCGGTTCTACCGAATAGGTGCGAACTGGTAGGAACCCACCTCTGGTACATGTATAATTAAATATGCATTCCCTTTACTATAGGTTTTAGCCAAAATCCCCAACAAAATTATTTCTGGTTTTAAGTCAATGTGCTCATCTTTTCCAACCACCTCTGTATTTTTGTCCAATATTTTTTTCGCTTCTACACATGTTCACCACATATGATAATATGACCCAGGTGTCTGCTGGCATTTCCAACATTTAGTAGTTTTATCTTTAAACATCTTTGCCAACCTCGCCAGTGCAAGAGTATACCATCTGTTATACTCTTAAAAGACAATTTTTGTAAAGTGATGTTGGTATCTACCACAGGAGAAATTGTCTAGAATGTCACTGCAAATTCACTTTGGAAATGTGAACAAGGAGGAACATTTTACCATGCTTGGTGGACATATAAAAATGCTAGAAAATTTTATATACTGTACATACTGATTCAGAAGATTTTAAAAATTAATATACAACTGAGATAAGAGATGTTTCTTAGGGAATTGACGGACAAACAATTCGAAGAAAAAATCACTGAACTTGGCTTTTTGTAGATGATTAACTGCAGAGAGATTATTGTATGCACAAAGGTGAAAAGATTAAGCATTGGAGAAATTGTTGGTGAAGAATATAGAACTTAACACTGATGGCTGAATTGACTTCTTTGAGAAAAGGAAAGACAATATCAATGTTTATTGCTGACGAAACGCTTTATGGATTTTTGTGTGTGTGTAAAACAGAAAATAAATGAATTTTACGATTTATGATTTTGTAGGTAGATAGGATAAATTATAGAAAGTAGAGGATCTTGCTATAACTAAATGTACAAATTTTTTGCTATCATGTGGAACATAAATTGAGACATTTGTTATTTTTGCAAGTTTGGTCTGAAGAATAATATGAGTTTTTTTCTCTAAAAGCATTTGTACATTTTTCACATATATAAGCTACTCCGTTTTTGACTAGGAGGTTTGTATTCCAGCAGATTTTGAAGGCATATAATGTGCTTTTTTCCTTTTTTAACTTACAAAATATTTTTCTCTTTTAAAAATATCCAGTGCCCAGCACAGCTTTGATTTTCTGTTTGTTCTTGATCTGTACTCCCTGAAGTAGTAGCTGCTTGATCCAATTTTCAATCTGTCTATTCTTGGTTTTGATTCCCCTATTCTGTTACAGATAAAGATTAAAGCATTCTGTTAGAATTGACAACAGAGCACCCAAAACCTTTGCCTCAATCCATAAAGACCTCCGGTCAAAAAGTACCCCATCTATATCTAATATTTTTATTTCTAAGAATACTTGTCAAAAATGTCATATATCTCTCCTTTTGGGGTATAATTGTGATTTCTAATCCGATATATTTCAGCGATTGATAATTGGTTAAAGAAAATGAAGCAGAGGATTATAATAAATGGAGACAATAAATTGTTGCCTACCTACTCTAGCACGTGGCACGACAAAACCACGGTCCACTAAAGCGCGCCCGATTAAAGCGCGTACCTGACGTCATCAGCAGT